GAGAGACAAGCAGCTTTCATGAGAGACCAAGAGAAGAGGCTTAGGCACAGAAGCATCTACGGTTCCAGGAAAGAAGAAGGACCTCCCCATTAGAGAAGAAAATGAATTCAGCCCAAATATTTAACACCCTGCCAACAGCCAAGGGTAAGCTGGTAGGCATGTCTGGGAACTACAGCCACAGGGGAAGTTCAAGGCCATTCACAGAAGCTGCTCGCCCGGTGTTCAAGAGAAAGTCTGAGAGCAGGTAACAGAAGAGAGCGAGCCTATCTCAAAGGCACACGCTTGAAGGAGGAAAGCAGCTGCTGCCGTAGAAATGGCACAAGATGGAATGACACATCCGGGAGCTTTTAACCCGATGAAGATCGGCAGACTCTGTTGATCACAGGGCAAGAAGATAATCTGCTAATAGCCGAGGGAAAGAGGAGGGATGCCCATTTCCAGGCAAACAGACTAATTAACGTGGCCTCTACGATCTCACACGTGTTTGACAGCCCATTGAAATTCATAAAGCAATCAGAAGGGCCGGGAAAGAACCCACTCCAAGGAAACAAAGCCTCCAGCAGAACTGGGTTATCAAAAGGAATTTGGAATAACTGACCGCATGGTAACCGCATGGGTTACGGAATTGCTCCATAGCGCTTCCCCATGGAGCTGGAATCAACTTGAAGGCAATAGGTTTGGCTTGGCTCATGGTTATCGTGGCTGATCCACAAATGGTCTTGGGGATGACACAGGACCGGCTGGCATTTTGTTCTGTTATGCGCGATGTCTCCATGAGTCGGGGGACTGACTTGTTGGTAGCTATCAACATATCGTGACGATGTAAAAGACCCGAATGGGAAAGGCAGTGTGTACAGATGAGGACTCCCAACAGAAACAGAGAAATCGTGGAAATGAATGGAATGAACTATTACAAAGCATGCGACAGAGATGAAGCGTGCCTACATAGACAGTCTCATTAATAGAGTTCACATACCCAGGGGCGGGGTGGGGAGGTGTTGAATGGGGGACTCAGTAAATATGGAGCTAGGCCAATAGAAATAACCCAAACCAAAACACAGTAAGAGAAAAAAAAAAAAGTGAATGAAAAAGTCAAGCCGAGCACCAAGAGTTGTGGGACAGTACCCAGTGGACTAACACACAATGGAAATCACAGACGGAGAGAGCAAAGTACAGCTAGAGCAGAAGAAAGAAATATTTGAAGAGATCATTGCTAGGGATATTGCCAAAGTAATGAAACACGTCAAACCAGAGATCGAAGCAGCTTAGAAAACCTCCAAGAAAAGTTAAAACAATGAAACAAAACCAGGAATAATTTATTAGCAACAGACCTAAACTATCAACTCTCATCTCAGTTCATAGAACCCGTGTGGGTTTCGGAGACGGTACCTTTTAAAAAGAGTAGAAAACTCTGCCTTTCTCCCTTAGAGTGGTTGGTGGTTTCAAACGGCTGACCACCTGATTAGCAGCTCCATACGTAACCTCTGTGCCACCTGAGCTATGCCACTTTGGACCTGAACTATGGGAAATGTTAACGAAAATACTTCAGACAGAGGAAATTGTTATTACACAGAAACTTCGATCAATACCAAGAAGCGAAGATCAGAAATCATTATAATGTCAAAATCACCTCTTTATTCATTCTAACCTATATTTGACCTGGGCTGCTAACAGCAAGGTCAGCAGTTCCAAACCACCAGTCCGCTCCACAGGAAAAAATGAGGCTCTCTACTCCTGTAAAGAATTATAATCTCAGACTCTGGTGGGCACGGCCACCCTGTCCTATAGGGTTGCTATGGGTTGGAATCAGCTTGATGGCAGTGATTTAGATTTAGATTGTACCAGCCAAACCTGAATGTCGATACAAGCTTTATTTATACTGGTCAAAACTGGCAACATCCAAATACCCTTTACCTAGTGAATATGACACGTCAGGCTAAAAACTACAAAACATTGTTGAAGAAAATAAAAGAAAACCTAAATAAATGGAAATAGGTATGTATTCCTTAATTTAAAGACTTAGTATTGTTAATATGTCAACAATTTAAAAATTGATATATAAATTCAATAAAGTCCCGAACAAAATTCCAAGAGGAATTTTACAGATTCCACAAAATTGACACGCAAAACTGAAGGAACAGCATTGTAGAAGAAGAATGTTGTAGGCCTCCCACTGACTTTAAGACTCATTATAAAGCAACAGCGATCAACTGATTTTGGCCAACACACGTGTATGGCCAATTGATTTTCCATGAATTTTCAAAGGCACTTGCATTGGAGAAAGGACAGACTTTTCAACAAATAATGAGAATATTTAGGTCTTCAAATGCAAAAATATGAGTCTTATGCCATGTGCAACACTTAACTCGAAATGATTTACAAACCTAAATATAAAGCCTACAAAACAATAAAACAGATGATAAATTATAAAATAAACAACTTCTGGAAGAAAATGATATGAAGTATTGTTTTTGTGATCTTCCTCGACAAAGAATGATTAACTATAGCACCAAAGACAAAAATCCAGGGGGGCGGGGGGAATATTGAAAAGCAGGACTTCAAATAAAAAATTTTTACTTTTGAAAACATAAAAAATGAAAATGCAAGGCACGGATTGTGAGAAAACATTTTCAAAACACACATTTGCTAAAGAACTGTGTCTAGAATATATAAAAACTTTCAAAATCGAATTAGACAAATTAGACAACCCACTAAAAAATAAGTAGGCAAAGACTTAAAAAGACATTTAGCGCCCCCCCCCCCACAAATATATGTGTACATAGAAGTCTATGTGAGTAACATTTAAAAATTTTCCATCCCCTAGCTGAACATCACGAGTCAGTCGGGAAATGCAAATTAAAACCACAAGGTGGTAATACTAGACAGCCTTTAGAATGGCTAAAACGAACAATCAAAAACCCGTAGAGTACCAGGTTGTAGTTGAAGATGCAGAGCAACAAGAAATTTCATACACCGCTTGTGGGGATGCACTTTGGGAAACCCCATATCACTCAGCAATCCATTCCACTTCTTGGTATTTACACATTAGAAATAAAAAGGGGCACAAAACCTGTACTGGATTTAGATACAGGCTTTATTCATAGTGGCCCAGTTGGACACAGCTCAATGTCCTTATAGCTGGTGAATGGAGAAATAGATTGTGGTATATCCATATTATGGACTACTACTCACTTCTTAAAAGGGTGGAATTATAGACACAATAACATGGATGAATTTCAACTGCATCATGCTCCATCCCTGTTTCCCAAAGTGGGTGATCCCACCCACTGGTAGACACTGGAAAGATCCAAGGGGTATGCTGCAAAAGCAGCCCCTGATCCTACACTTTATCCTGGATGATGGGCTATAGCGCAAACATTTTTAATTGCCCGGAGGAGGAATGATGAGTACATTTTTTTTCCTTGAAAAGGGGCGGTAGGTCAAATAACGTTTGTGAACCTACGTGGTATGTGAAAGAAGCCAGACAAAACAGGCCCCTCCTGTACAATTCCACGGAAACCATCAGGATAGCAAATGGATGAGTGAATACCAGGCGTCAGGGTGGAAAAAAAGAGTAGACAAAACAGGAGCATGAGGGAATTTTCGGGGGTGATGGAGCTATGATTTTATGTTTGGATTGTGCCCACTGAAAAGGGGTTCCATATATACTCGAGTAGAAGCTGACCCGAAGATCAGCCGAGGCACCTACTTTTACCACAAAAACGGCATTAAAAATGTGCTGAAATGGACACTTGGGCCTCCCTTCAAGTACTCCCTCAATGCAAGAACACTTTGTTCTGTTAAATTGGCATTCCATGATGCTCACCTTCCCTACACAATTGCTGAAGACAAAGTGGTTGCACAAGCAAATGTGGTGAAGAAAGCTGATGGTGCCCGGTTATCAAAGGATATGGTGTCTGGAGTCTTAAAGGCTTGAAGGTAAACAAGCGACCATATAGTTCAGAAGCAACAAAGCCCACATGGAAGAAACACACCAGCTTGTGTGATCACCAGGTGTCAAAGGGATCGGGTATCAGGTAGTAAAGAACAAAAATTTATATCATTGTGAATGAGGGGGAATGAAGATTGGGCACCCAAAGCCCATCTGTAGGCAACTGGACATCCCCTTACAGAAGGGTCGCAGGGAGGATACGAGCCCGTCAGGGTGCAGTATAGCAACGATGAAACATACAACTTTCCTCTAGTTCTTAAGTGCTCCCCCACCCCAACTATCATGATCCCAATTCTACCTTACAAATTTGGTTAGACCAGAGGATGTACACTGGTACAGACAGGAACTGGAAACACAGGGGATCCAGGGCGGAGGGATCCCTTCAGGACTAGTGGTGAGAGTGGCGTTACCGGGAGGATGGAGGGGGAGGATGGGGTGGAAAGCGGAAACCGATTACAAGGCTCTACATATAACCTCCTCCCTGCGGGCGGACAACAGAAAAGTGGGTGAAGGGAGACGTTTGACAGTGCAAGATATGACAAAATAATAATTTATAAATTATCAAGGCTTCATGAGGGAATGAGGAGTGGGGAGGAAGGGGAAAAAATGAGGAGCTGATACCAAGGGCTCCAGTAGAAAATAAATGTTTTGAGAATAAAGAGGGCAACAAATGTACAAATGTGCTTGACAGACAATGGATATATGTATGGATTGTGATAAGAGTTATATGAGCCCCCAATAAAATAATTTTATTTTAACGTGCTGAAAAACTCGGCTTATACTCAAGTATGTATGATACATTTTAGTGCATGTAAAGCATACCCCATAAACCTTAATTTAAGCAATAATATTTAAGAGCTATAAAATATATAATAATACAAAATAAACATAGAGCCAAGAACAAACGCATATGCCACTGGGCTGAACTAACCTCATAAAAGATTGGATCCTAAAATAAATTCTAAAGGTTCTGAACACAGTGCTACACAGGTTTCAAAACAGAAGGATGGAACTAGCTATGCGAGGGGACAAGAACACCCACGCCCACCTGTCAGGTAACGCCTGCAGCACGGTGGGCATCAGCACCCCGGAGATAGCTTTGTAGAGGATGGAGTCACACACACCGACGATGTTCACCACCGTGGAGGAGCCCAGAACAGGCAGCATGTGGGGCGGCATCCCTTGCCAAAAGTGCAGAAGAAAACTTTGAACCTGTGTGGGCCCACAGAGAGAAAAGGAAGCATCAGGTTACGCAGGGCACTCCCAACAGAGCCTTTGGACTCCGCCCCCCCCACGCCCCCCCCAGGCCAACCCAGTTATCAGTGCTGCCATCCATTGGCCTCTTGTGGCTTAGGAGGCAGTGGAAGCTCCTCCTGCCCCAAGTCTTCCCACTGCTTGAGAACCACATGTCCTGGGAGCGTGGGGTCTCCTCTGCCCTGGGAGAGAGGAGGAGCATATCATTACATCAGCTCCCCCAGTGCTCTCTATGGACTGGGATACGTTTAGGAAAGGGGGGTGGGATATTGTTCATAGGAAGGTCAGAGCCCAGGTCATCACTTCTCTGACAGCTTGTTGTTGGCATGTCAGGAATCCGTGGGTGTTCTAGGAAGGAAGAGAAAGGTATAGGAGCTGCACGTGTGTGTCTGAAAGGGAGGTGAGAGAATACTGCCAATAAATGCTTTTGATTTCAAAATATGTACATCCCAAACTAGGCAAAGTGCACGGGCCTCTCCATACCACCAGTCCTGGCTGGGGTGATGGTAGATGATGACTGCGTAGTGAGTCTGGTGGACAGATGAAGTGTATGTGTGACATCTTAAAATCCGTGGCTGTCCAGTGCCGTTGAGTGGGCTCCAACTGCAATGTCCCTGTGTACAGCAGAGTAAAGTACACTGCCCAGGTCCTGTGCATCCTCCCATCATTCGTGTGGCAGCCCACGGCCGCAGCCACTGTGTGAATCCAGCTCCTCGGTGGGCTTCTTCGTTTTCGCTGCCCTTGTACTTTGCCAAGCATGACGTCCTTTACCAGGGCCTGGTCTCCCTTGGCGACATGTCCCAAAGCTCATGCGACATAGCCATCCTCACTTCCAAGCAACAGTCTGGCTGTACGTCTTCCAAGACAGGTTCATGTGTTCTTCTGGCAGCCTGTGGTACTTGCAGTCTTCTTCGCCAGCACCTAATTCAAACGCATTGATTCTTCTTCGGCCTTCCTCATTCACCGTCTAGCTTTCCCATGCCTATGAGGCAACTGAAAATACCACAACTTGGGTCAGGTGCCCATTCGTGCTCAAAGCGACATCCTTGCTCGTCAACATGAAAGCCATTGTGTGCAGCAGATTTGCCCGTTGCACTACATGACTTGGTCTCACGACTGCTGCTTCCAGGAGCATTGACTGTAGACCCAGGCAAGACAGGATCCTTGACAACGTCCATCTTTTCTCCATTTATCAGGGTGCTATCTGTTGGTTCAGTTGCGAGGATGTTGTTGTTCTTTACATGGAGTTGCAATCCACACTGCAGGCTGCAATCCTTGATCGGCATCAGCAAGTGCTTCAAGTCCTTGTTTTCTGCAAGCAAGGTGGTTCCATCTGCATCTTGCAGGTTGTTAAAAAGCCTTCCTCCAATCCTGATGCCACCTTCTTCTTCGGTTCACCCGCTTTCTCTGCTTATTGGCTCGGCAGTCAGATTAGATAAATCTGGTGATGCATGCCCGCTGCACACCTTTCCTGATTCTACATCACAGAGTAGTGCCTTGTTCTATTGTATGACTGCCTCTTGTTCCATCTAGATCCTGAGCGAACGTAATAAAATGGGGTCATTGATATGAGAATTCCAGGGGTGCTATTGTGAGAAAATTCCGGAGTGGGAGTCCAGGGTCGGTGTGCTTGGTGTGCGCGTTGGAGTGAGGGGGACAAAGATCGGGGAAGTGAAGGGCAACAGTAGAAGGTGCTTAACTGGTGTGTATGATTACATGAAGCCTGTCTCCACTTCAGCTTATACTGACCAGCGACCATGTCGACTCTGGGGAACAAGAGACTGAGAATGTCTGTAAATTCCAGTAGCCATGCCTTGGTTCCTCAACTAAGACATAGATTCCTCTGTCCCCCACAGATGGACAGGTAGCATTACCCACATCTCTGGCTCCCAAACCAGTCCTGACAGTCAGCCCCTCCAGGCGAATCCCTTGGAGGTGCTAAGATTATGGCCAGGAGTTGTGTTTCCTGGGCTCCACTAGAGCTAGGAACTCAGAATAGGTTCTCATAGTTAATGATCATGGTCATGCTATCTCTGAGACATTAAGTTCTTTGCCCAAACTCAGACAGGAGGCCACAGAAGAGTTGAGAGAGAGCTCAGGTTACAGCCCAGAAACAATGAAAAAGGACATTTCCTTGAGGCAGGGTGGCTTCCTTCAAGAAGAAGAACACGATGGAAAAGATTGCGTTAGCTTTTTCCTGGGCCTGGACCCTGAATCCGGCTTCAGTTTTTTGGAATTGAGTCAATAGCTTGCCATATTGTCTCCTGATCCCGAGAGTCATCCGAGGCCTGCCACCTGACTTGCTGGAGAAACAGGGTTGGAACCATGTTTTGACTCCTTCTGGCTCCCAAGGATGATTGCCACAGGCAGAAGTCACAAATGCCTCTGCCCTCCATCCCTTTTCAGTCTATACTGACATCAGTTCTCCCTCCCCTGGCATCGTACTTCTACGGCCCCTCCAAATCCAAACTTACTGCCATTGAATCCATGTCGACTCATAGCGACTCTATAGGATAAGATAGAACTGTCCTTGTGAGTTTCCTAGACTGTACCTATTTATGGGAGTAGAAAGCCCCATTTTTTTTCTTCCAAGGAGCTGGCTGGTGGTTTTGAACTGCCAACTTTGTGAACCACAGCCTAATGCATAACCAAACACTATGCTACACTTCTGTGACGAGTTTCCTGAATTCATTGCAGTGGCCACACAGACTTTACAGACGATGCTCACAAATATGGGGTGTATTAAGGAAGTGAACAGGTTGCGACGGGTGAAAAATGGTCAGGACACAGTTGTTCAGTCAGGGTAGTGTCTTCTCTGCATGCCCCCAGGCCCTCAGCCTCTTGTCCTGACCTCTGCCCTGCTTGGGCAATGTTAAACACCTCTTTGGGGACTTCTAGAAAATGCTGAAAGGGCATGCCACTCTGATGTCTCAACCCAAAGACATTCAGCTCCATCTCTGTGGGTTAGCGCTCTCAGCTAAATGCACTTAGGGCACCCCACTCCACAAGGCAGCCTCCTGCCCCAAAGCACTCAGCTTTCCTCGCTTGGTGGGATGCCAAGTCCACCTCTCTGATTCTCTGGTTCCTGGTCCTGCTGTTGTTGTTCCTCTGCCATTCCTCTGTCGCTCAAGTTTTCTCCTGGATCAAGGAGGCGCCAAAGGATGTGCTCCACTGCTGGCTCTTCTCCTGTGCTGGTAGGAAAACCCACCACCCCCGCCCCTGCCTCCGCCCCTTTCTGCTTCTGAGATGGTTCACTTTATGCCCAGCAGGAGGACAATCACAATGAACCCTGTCAACAGATTAATCGTCTAACCCAATCAGTCCCTTTCCCTACCTTCTTACTCAGATCCGCCAGGGAAATGACGGTGATCGTTTGGTGAGAGGAATAAAGGCTACGGCTTCAAGAGCCACACGAGATCACTCACGGCTTGCACCTGCCAGCCTTGGATCCCTGCAACATTGCAGCCACAGGTGTGGCCTGCTCTCTTTGCATCCACCCACCTCGGCTGCCACCAGCCTGTGCCTCTTCCTGCTAATCTTGAGTTTGCCAGCCCCACAGTTACTTGGGTCGGGAGAAGGCTCCAGCTGGATATCGGACCCGTAGCCCTGGAGCCTGCTCACTTCCACAATGTGCGCACCAATCTCCTTGGAAGGCAGCTGGGCTCATTGCTATACCCCCCAGGCTGATTTCTCCATAGACATTATCTCTGTATTACATCTACACAAAGTTATTGGGTTTGCTTCTCTAGAGAACCCAGCATGAGACTGTCACTCAGCCAACATCTCTCCAGAGGACCCTCCCTGCTCATCCCTTGGCATTGGCCTTAGACCTGCCTGCCTGCCTCTTTAACTCAGAGTATGGCGGCGCTGCCCTCAGAAGGTTCCTAAGATTTGGTAGATTCTGAATTCATCTGGCTGACTTAGCTCTCGGTGCACACAGACCTACTCTTCTTTATACGAGCAGTTAATTTCTGGCACAAAGTCTGGAAAAGATCAGCTGCTGTGTAGGTTAAAACAAATCTGTGACAAACTGGTGTCTTTTATCAGGCGTCTGTTTCCAGCCTGCTGAAGTGGCACATGGCCCCCGATCCGTTCTCTCTAGAGCAGCAATTTCAGAGCGCGTGTGGTCCAGGTTTGGCCTCCCCTCCCAATCTCTGCCAATTGATGTCCGGCAAGGAGCCCTGGTGACACCATCGATAAGCACGCAGCTGATCTTGGGAAGGTCAGCAACCTCAGCCCACACGTTGCTCCGTGATGACCCCGGTACTGGAGGCCCGCCCTGTGCAGCACCTCTACTCTGTCCTATAGGGCGGCTGTGAGCTGGAATCCCTCCACCGCAAAGGAAGTTTTGGTTTGTCTAAGGCCAAAGGGCACTGGCACCCCAGCGGTGAGGAAAGTGGACACATACAATGTCTACAGTCAACTGGATGTCCCAATAGACTGGACATGGAGGGAGAGGGGAAGGGAAGAATCAAGGACTGTGGTTTGCGCCGTTGGTGAAAATGGTGGTGGTGACTTAGGACTTGGCAATGATAGATTGGGGGGAGGGGGCAGAAAATGAAGAGTTCTGCTTTGGGCATGTTAAGGTAACCATCGAGACAAATCAGTCTGGCGCTCAGAACTAGAGATAGAAATATGAGGGCCGTCAGCTTCTAGAAAATGGACACAAGGTGCCTACCTATTGTTAAAACGAAATCACTTGTGTAAAATACCTGGCATCGGGTGGGCATTTAACAAATACGCATTCTTAGGCAGAAAGGAGAGTTTGGATAAAATCTCCTTACTCATTTAGCACAAGTAGGGGGCAGAGGGGAGGCAGAAACCAGAAGGAAAGGATTGAACGTGACTTCCTAAAGAAGTCTCCTGGCTTATTGGTTTCCGTCCCTTCACCTCTCAGCCCTTTTTCTCTGGGCTCAGTGAAGTATCCTTTGAGTCCCCTAAAACTCCCTCAGCCAAATTTATTTTTTCTTGTCCATGTCCGCATGTAGTTCATTCCTAATATATCGGAATCATGTGGAAACACATCTGATTCTTTCCGATCAGGGGTCTTTCATTGTCACAGTATTGGAAGGTCTCTAAGTAAAACAACCAACAAAAATAGCTACCATTTCGTATGTTCTTAATGCGGAAACATGACACACAATTCCATGTAGTCGTCATAGTTTTGCTAGGAGGTAGGTATTTTGTCTCCGTTTTACAGCTAAAGAAACTGAGACTCAGAGAGATTATGTAACTTGCTCAAGAACACAGGGTAGTAAGTGGTGGACGTGGGATTTAAACTATCTGAATTATAACTTGTATTCTACATACAGATTTGTGGAGTGCAAATATGTGGAGTATTCTACGTAAAGACTTGAACTCTTTATGTTACTGATAAACGAATAGTGTGTCCACATCCATTCATCCATCCACCCACTCAACAACTATTCATTGCATGCCTCACAGTATGGCTGGCAAGGATACCTCGAGGGCTTACATCATGGTGGTAGAGGATGAAAACTAACAAGCAAACACCCTCACCCAAGACTGTGATACTAACACCAACTGTAGCCTGGACAGACATTCAAGATCTTGAAGACTTGAACAAACCAACCAGGTTATAGTATCATCAGGGTACACCAGATGCCCTCATCAATGACTTTTCTCAGCTGTAGGAGAAAACCACAGTCCTCCAGAGAGAAAATATCCCCCTTCAACCTTTTTTTTTTATGGTTAAGTAGTGTGATCATTAGGTTTATTGTGCCCAGTAGGCCAATAGGAACAGGTGAGCGGAGTTTAATCAGGTCACAGCTTGATTGGAAGATGACTGAAATAATAAAGACAGCTGGCATCTCCCTCTTGTGCCCTGGCGATCGGACTGACATGCTGCTGCTTTAGCTAGTTCTCTGCCTTCACCTGTGTGCTACACTACCTGTGGGTCAAGTCAACTCCGGAATCGTGTCCCTAGAGCTTGAGGCTCCTTTGAGACCCGCTCCATCAAGCTGCTGGTGTGTACATCACTTGAGTTTGAGGATGGTGGATCCTGTGGCCGTGCTTGAATTCCAGATCCCATTAGGGCCTGCTTCACTAAGCTCCCAAGCTCCTGTTGCCGACCCACCCAATGTCTGCTGCCTGTGGGCAGACTCTGCCTGCCTTGCCTGAGGGAAGACTCCGCTGTCTGCTTCCTTAACCGTAGACCCCACAGTCCACCTGAGTTGAAGGATTTCCAGTATATCCACTGTTCCACGGAAGGGAGTTGAACTGGACCCTTTGTACTGCTATGTGGACTAATGAGCTGTTACATGCCTTCTTGTTGTAAAAACATATCCTCACATGTATGCAATCACAAGTGTCCTGGTTTTGTTTCTCTAGCGAACCCTGCCTACCACAGGTAGGATGAACAACTTCTTGATTATCCATCTTAAAAATAGCCACCAAATATCCCTCCCGGTGGGGGACTGAAGACCAGGTGAGAAAGGTACTGTCATGAATTTGGCCCTTAACGATGAGGTGATCTTGGGCAGATCTCTGAACTTCTGTGGTTGGCATGTACGTCTAAGATCAAGAGCAAGCATTTTATGGCGCTTTGTCAGGCACTGTCTTCTCTCACCCCTCTAGCAATCCTGTGGCTCAGCTATATGATCTAAATGTGTACTCTCCTTTCCGTTGTAGGATGAGGCACTGCTGTGAATCAGGTGTGGGACTCTTAGATCTGGCATTTTTCCTATAGGTGAACACCGCTGCTCGCTGGCTCCTGGACTTCTCACCATACATTGCACACGCTTAATGCTTTTGACTGCCTCCTGGTTCCCAGGGCCCAGAGCAGTTATTCGGCATCATGGACGCTCGGTGTGTGGAGGAATTAAGCAAAAGGAATTGAGTGATATGAGAGGAAGAGAGTGATTTGGGGTAAGGAGGCCAGTCACTGGTTTTGCCACTGGGCTAAACTGGCTCAATGGTCAGCAACAGGTGCGCCATGAAGATTTGCCGCAGACGGGGGCAGAGGCAGAAGAATACGGGAGAGAATAGCATTCCGTAACTTGCATTTTACCTCTCCCTCCACCTCCAAACAGCATACTCTGCGATCTTTTCCATCAAATAACTACTGGTTTTACAACCTTTTCAGAGTCTGAGTTACCTTCCTGACACATGAATATCCACACCCCAGCCCAAGGTATTTGGGCCTGAAAGGCATCTTCTGTCCACAGAAAGGCCTCCAGTTTGTGGGGTGAAATGTGTGGTTTCTTGCATCCCTCTGGAAGGTTCTTTTGGATGGCATTTTAGACAAGAGCGGCTTGTCTCTGATTGTATAACAGAGGCTTCAGACCCTTCTCGCTATTCTTTCATTTTCCTATTTTAAAATAAAATAAAAAAGGAATATCCTAGAGAGTTGGGGTTGTGTGTTTTTTCATTCAAAGATGGCCCTACTGCTAGGATTTGGTGGAAGGGCAGAGCAGACCTTTAGAATGGAGCAGAACTAGCTCCAGGTGCACTAAGGTGGATGAACCCTGGGAAACAACTCAACCCAAGACATCGGAAACCCTTTCTTTGGTTTCTTTGCGTCTGTCACCTGGCTGTAATGACACCTGGGCAAACCCCCTTCCTTGTATGCCGATTGGGCAGGACACAGTTCCCTAGTGAGGGAAAGGAAAAGGCCATGCCACTTTCTATTAAGATACCTGATCGGTAAAATGGGCAGCCTAACCGTACCTCGTGTTTGGGAAAGTAGAAAAGAGGAAGGCTCTCAAGGAGATGGGTTGACACTGTGGCTGCCCCAACGGGCTCACGCAGAGGCACAATGGAGAGGCTGGTGCAGGACTGGGCAGTGTTTCGTTCTGTTGGGTATGGGGTCCATCTGGGTTGGAACCAACTCTATGGCACCTAACAGCAGCCACGATGATGACAACAGTACCTGCTTGGTTGAATCGCTGAAGGGACTCAGTGAGCGATTGCATAGGCATGGGAGGAGCCCACAGAGCCTGGCACCCAAACAGGGCTTCAGGCAGGAGGAGCTAATGTGTGTGAGAAACATTTGTGCACAATACTTGGCAGCTAACTCTTGTGGACCTACCTCGTCAAAGTTGGCTCTGATTACAGTGTCCAGTATTCTCTGACAGTGTGTTCTGTACATCATAATAAAGGTAGAGACCTGCGGGTGATGGGGAGATTGACAAGAAAGGCACACGTTAATGCATGTAAGTACCACTGTGGGGAATTCCAGGTTGAAGTCATTTCATCCCTGCTGAGGGACTGGAATTCAACTACCTGCTCTCCTCTCCTCACGGGCACACTCTCCTCTACGTTTCCACTTCACCTGAAGATTTCTCCCAACACTAGCCCCACGTCCTGGAAGCATCAGATAACCCTCTGCCCACGAAATTGCTTCTTATGCATGTTGGTGTACCCAGCACCTAACACAGCGCCTGGAACACAGCAGGTATTTGGGAGAGTTTATTGAACTACATGCTCTTCCTCGGCTAAGATGCCCAAAGGTTACCACCCAATGCATACTCATCAGAAGAGGTGCTCTGCCAATACCACACACACAGATAGACATTTGGAAATGACCTGCAGTCTGCTTAGCAAAAAGACTTCCACCTCCAGCTCCACTTATCCAAGAACGGGAAAGCCATGGTGCAGGAAGTGTGTCTGTTCACCGGGAAGACTAAAGGATGATCTTGTTCTTAGGCCTGAAGCACCTTCTGTAGCTTCCAGTGTGTTCTCATGTTGCAGGGCACCGGCATGCAGTCTCTACAAACTTGGCGTGCCTATACAAAACCACTCGTGTGCCCCATCTGATCAGATTGTAACCTTCCTGAGAGCAGCTTCCGGCCCATGTGCCGACACAGTCCAGGCTCAGTACCTGTCGGTGCACCAGGCTGCGTCAAGGCAGGGGTCGTGGAGAGGTGATGTGCCCGGGGAGACTTCCCATCAGCTTGGGTTTCCAGCAGTTTCCTCCAAATGCCCAATGAGCCAGTGACTCATTTAAACTCACTGCTATGCTGACCCATGGCGACCCTATAGGAGAGGGCAGAACTGCCCCTTTGGGTTTCCCAGGCTGTCATTTTTTACTGAAGTGGAAAGCCTCATCTTTCTCCCTCGGAGCAGCTGGTGGGTCCCAACTGCTGACCTTGTGGTTAGCAGCCCCACACGTAACCCACGACACCACCAAGGCACCTATAAACATCACTAGTGGGCCTCTCACAGGGATATGAGTGCTGTGACAAAGCCAATCACAACAGGCGGTCTTTTGTGACACACACACACACACACACACACACACACACACACACACACACACACACACACACACACACACACACACACACGAGCATCAAAGAGTTCATGGGAAAAGTTCCATTTTCCATGTACTTTTTGAAGCTCTCGCTCTCTTTCTCTCTCTCACACACACACATGTCTATATACATATGCACACACACATATGAGGCGGCTTCAAAAGGTTCCTGGGAAGACTCCATTCTCTTCTACTTAGAATTTACCACGAGCATTTGGAAGCCCCCTTAGGCGTGTGTGCATATATGTATATACGGAGACAGAGTAGCAGGGACAGGAAACGTGCTCATCTGAAATCGTTTTCAAATGTAGGAGAGATAGCAGAGGAAGTTCCCACGTACCCCACCTCCAGTCACTCCTACTTGTCACAACCTAGGCACCCGTGCCCGTGTGGGGCTCCCAACTGAAGGTCATCCTTTAGTCAGAAGTGTGGCTTTTTCATGGGAAAGTCGTCTTGTAGCGAACGTGGGAGAGAGAGGCAGAGAGAGAAAGACAGAGAGAGACACAGAAGCACGGAGAGAAACAGGTCTAGTGGCCCCTGCAAGTGAGGTGGCCGGTTGGTTACCTTCTCCTCGGGCAGACTGGTGGGTAGATTGAGATCTTTGACATTTGGAAACTCGGGCAGCAGCGTTCCAAGTTTGGACCGTGGCGAATATGCCACCGTCTGTTTGCTTACTTCTTTCTTCCCTGTTTCGCTCACCCAGGCGGCTCCTTTCTTGGAATACATCACATCATAATACTGAGAGCTTTCCTTCACTGCGATGCCATAGTAATGGTACCTGGACCAGAGACAGGGGGGGAGGGAGAGAGACGGAGGCCCTCAATGCACGGTGATGGAGCACAGGGTGGGGGTTCCCGAGTCGGGTACTCATCCTCCCGAGGCCAGAAGAGTTAGCTCCCCTGCCAAGCTCGACTTTACTGGAAGTTCAGAATGCCACGGGAGTGCCACGCTGCCAGCCGTCAATCAGGCAGGTAAAAATAACCGAGATTGCCTCCTACAGAAATTGTTCGATCAAATGCTTTGCAAAGCAGGAAGGGAGGTGCCTTCTTCTTTTCTTTTCCCTGTTTGATCTCTTCTTTCTGGCCAAAAGGGATTCCAAAGGCATAGCGCTTGGGTCTCCCTGCTCTGGGGGTGACCCGAGCAGAAGCACGGTTGTTGTTGACTGCTCTGCCAACACAATCCATTTGGCTGATGTTTCCTTCATCAAAGCAAAGTGAAGACAAACCAAACCCACGGTGGTCTCTAAGACTGCATTTTTCTAAAGAATCCTTTCTTGCTTTGACCGACACTACATGTAAAACCAAGGCCAGGCCTTCCTGCTCATGTGAGATGAGTTTAACCCTGCAAACGTTGCCCATGGAGATAGCCCCAGGTCAGAGGTCGCAGGATGTGTGGCTCCACACTACCACCTACCAACTTTACCACCATCTACCGAGCACTGACTCCATGCTCATCACTCTCCCAAGTGCTGTGCCAAGTGCATTCCTTGGTAAAGACGACCCCATGAACTCGTTTCTGTTGCCCAGTGGGCTCCATCTTTGCAACCCCATAGGCCAGTGTAACTCCCCTAGAGAGCGGTTCTCAACCTGTGGGTCGCGACCACTTTGGAGGCCAAACGACCCTTTCACGGGGAGTGGCCTGATTCATCACAGTAGCAGAATGACAGTGATGAAGTAGCAACGAAAATCATTTTGTGGTTGGGAGGTTGCCACAACACGAGGAACTGTATGAAAAGGTGGCGGCATAAAGAAGGTGGAGAACCACCGCCCCAGAGGGTTTCCAAAGCTGCCATCTTTGTGGAAACAGACTGCCCCAGCTTCCTCCCCAGGAGCAGCGAATGGGTTTGGATGGCCAATCTTTCCAATTAACAGCTGATTGCTTAAGCACCCTGCCAACCAGGGCTCTTGAACCCCTAGGGACTGAGCATTAGCACCGCCCTTCTAAGAAGGAATGGGTGGGTGATAGAATTCCTGCTTTCTACATGGGAGACCTGAATTTGATTCCAGGCCAATGCCCCTCGCATAGCCACCACCCGTCTGTCCCTGGGTGTCTGTGGGTCGCCAGGCCGCTGGCCAGGTTTCCTAGCGCTTCCGGACAAGTGTGAAGGAGGAAGAGAGACCTGGCAATCTCCTTTGGAAAGCCAGCCCGGGAACACCCTGTGGGTCCTAACCGTCCTGCCTACCGCCCATCACGGGGATGGCACCTTTCATTCTGCTATGAGTGGGGTCGCCACGGGAGCAGGGCCAACTCAGGGGCTGTCAACTGCAACAGCGGCCCCTCTTCAGAGGGGTCCGTGGAGATGGAAAGTCGAAAGCAGTTTGCTGCGGGCCGTGGAGCTGTTCCGTGAAAGAACAGGCTCTTGAGCACAGATCTTTCTGGACTGCAAAGCCCCCATTGCAGGACTAAGAGAAAACACTGCGCCGGTGCAACGGTAAAGGCTGCGGTTCATCAGAGCCATCGATGGAGGGTGGTAAAAATGCAGATGCCCAGGCCCCCTTTCCAGACCTACTGGATTCAGAACATCTGGGGACGGGCCCAGGAATCAGCATGTCAACAAGCGCAGCAGGCCATCGGATGCACAGCTGGTTGGCGCTCCATTAGCCTGCCACAGGAAATGTCGACGGGCCACTCAGAGGAATGTCAGCCCCTGGATTATGCTCCTGGCTTATCGAAACCCCGTCAATGGCGATCCCTGTCATTATCTAACCGAGTGCCATCCACTCAATCCTGGCTCCTAGTGACCCTATATATTGGGTTCCTGAGACTTTGAATCTTTACTGGAGCAGGCAGCCTCCTCTTTCTCCCTTGGAGTAGCTGGAGGGGTTGAACCTCTCTGACTTTACAGTTAACAGCCCAATGCCCAGCCCAGCATTCCACCAGGGCTCCTTTTCTGACTGTCTACTGGCCCAGAGGTTGGCAAACTGCGGCTCTCGAGCCAATGTGCCTCCATGTAGCTCAGAAGTCAGATGAAAAATGAAAACGAAATGACCATCGTCTCGTGTAAACCATATCATTCAGGTAACGGTCATTTCATTTATCTGTAAAAATACATATACGGCTCTCAAGTCATTTTAAATTGTCATGAGGGGCGGGACTAGCCCTTCCGTCTCAAAAGTGTGCCGAACCCTGTACTGCCAGATACCAGACGCTCACCCCAGCATCCAACACGGCATTGAGTCCTTTGGCATCTAAGAGGGGCCTTCAAAAAGTTCATTGAAAATTGGAATGACAATAAAGCGGTATTTTTTTATGAGATTTTTGAAAGTCACTTTGTATTACTTTCTTCCATTGCACAAAATCCCTTAAGGCTGTAAGGATATATATTCCCCCACCCCACCCCACCCTCGTTCTTAGGCATGGAAAAGAAGACCCAGAGAACTGCAGGAACACACCAACCTTCCCCACTAAGTAGACGGAGGATTTGAACACATCCATGGCCTTTTAACCACCAGCTGTACTTGAAATGTCTGAGGCTCAGCTACAGACACGATAAACATACGGACTCCTGGGCCCGCCTCCAACGAGCCTGGCTCCATACATCTGGGGTGGCTTTTTACCATCATAAGCCATAGCTCAGGCTCGTCATTCATGAACCTCACTGTCAGAAACACAGCAGATTAGCGGCGTTTCTCTCCTCCGTCTTCTTCGGGACAAGACCAAAGAGAAAGCATTTGTACTTCTGAGGATGGCTTTCTTGGGGTAGGAAGAAATGGCCTATGACCTCCTTCCCTCTCCCCACTCTCCCACCGCGGCCCCGGCCAGATACCATTCTGTAAAATTTCTGCTGAGCGGACATGGAGCCTCTAGCTGAATTCCTCCTGGGATGAAGAACTCGGGCCCTCTGAAGGCAGCCCAGTCCATCGTAAGCCGGTAGAGTTATCAGAAAGTTCTTTGAGTCCAGCTACTAGCTGCCTTCTCTTTCCAACTGTCATAACGGCCGTTGGCCAGGGTTGGGGGAGGGGGGCTGGTAACGGTGCTCTGGGAAGCATCCTTTGGCTGGGAAGGCAGTTGGGACCTGCCTCCTGAACAGTCACAAGTCTTCTGAAGGTTGAAGTGGTGATGTCTTCTTTGAACCAGACTGGGCCTTGACTGAATCAGCACAGAAAGCGGGATGGCTGAAATCTGCAGTGGCCAGGAAGCGATTCTCCCGAGGGCTTCCCACTAGTTTTACTTCAGTTCCCAAGGGTATGTCAGTGTGAAGCGGGGGACCCACCGGGGTGGCCTGTTTGATGGGTTGAGAGTGAGGCTCTCTCTGGAGAATGTTTATGGTAAGGATGCCTGGCAGGTGATGCCACGGGACTTTGAAAGAGGATGTTGTCCAACGTGACGAGATTTTTTTATGTACAGACTTGGTTTGTTTTTCTTTAGGGAGGTCACCTTGGGAAATGAGGATTCCAAGGTATCCCTTCAAAAAACAAAGCCAAACAACAATAGCAACAAAGTCTGGAGGTCTTTTTGGAAAT